GGAATGAATCCTACCTTATTCCTCTTCACAAGAAAGGGTCCAGATCTAATATCGAAAATTATCGTGGTATTGCTAAATTGTCTGCCATTCCGAAGTTGCTCGAGCACCTTGTTACTCGTCAATTGCAACACGCATGTTCTAGCATTATATCCCCGACGCAACATGGTTTTTTTAGACATCGATCAACATCTACTAACCTTTTAGAATTCTCGTCTCTAATCAACCGAGGATTTCAAAGTGGCTTGCAGACTGACGTCATTTTTACAGATTTCAGTAAAGCTTTTGATTCTTTTAATCATACTTTACTGATCCATAAACTCTCTTTCTTAGGTTTTGCCACAAATCTTGTAAATTGGATATCATCGTACCTGTCGAATCGCACACAGCTTGTGTTGTTTAACAATGTCTTGTCGAATGTTGTGAAAGTAACCTCTGGAGTTCCTCAAGGAAGTCATTTAGGTCCGCTTCTTTTCAATTTGTTTGTGAACGACCTGCCCCAAGTTATTTTGCACTCAGTTACTTTAATGTATGCTGATGACGTTAAAATTAGTTTTTCTCCTTTTCCGACTGGTACTTTCATACTCGCCTACAACTTGACCTTGATGAATTAAGCATTTGGTGTTCAAATAACCTACTTTTCTTGAACCATTCTAAGTGCAAACTTATAACTTTTCACCGCCGTGCACCACATTTGGTCTCCAATTCTCTAGGAAACCATGTTCTGGATCGAATCTCCACATCAAATGACTTAGGAGTCCTTTTCGATCACAAGCTATGTTTTAATAGCCATACTGCTTCAACTGTTAACAAAGCTAAGGGAGTTCTAGCGTTTATTAAGCGTTGGTCAAAAGAGTTTGACGATCCGTATATAACTAAAGCACTGTACGTCTCGTTGGTTCGCCCGATATTGGAGTATTGTTCTTGTGTGTGGGGTCCACAATACAAGGAGCAACAAATTATTATTGAATCCGTTCAAAAACAATTTTTAATATTCGCCCTTAGACATCTAAACTGGGACTCTAACAGACTCCTTCCACCATACCTATCTAGGCTAAAACTACTGAACCTACCCTCTTTACACCATCGCAGAATTTGCAATGGCGTGGTATTCATGCATAAGCTCATTCTCGGGATTGTGAACTCCCAAACGCTTTTGGGACGAATCGATTTTTCGGTTCCCTCCAGACCAACCCGTACCTTCCGCCCCATCCGATTATCCATATGTAGATCTAATTACTCCCACATTTATTTAATTAATAACATTTATCATTACCTTAGTTTAGAAAATGTGTAAATTGTATCTCTCCTTTCTGTCTTGTACATATATAATTAGTTTGTTTTTATACCCGTACTCAAAAAAGAGTTAAGGGGTATATTAGATTTGTGGTAAAAGTGGATGTGTGCAACGCAGAGAAGGAAACGTTTCCGACCCCATAAAGTATATATATTCTTGATCAGCATCAATAGCCGAGTCTATATAGCCATGTCCGTCTGTCCGTCCGTCTGTCCGTCTGTCCGTCTTGATGAGCGCCTGGATCTCAGAGACTATAAGAGCTAGAGAAACCAAATTTGGTTTCCAGACTCATGTGATATCACACTGCTACAAGTGTATTTCAAAATTTCGCCCCGCCCCCACAAAGGACGAAAACCTGTGGCAGGCACAATTTTAAAGATAAGATAAAACTAAAACCGCAGTTTCGTAGAGAATGACCATATCTAGCAGAGTGCCGAATCTGATCGGATCGGATCAGATCGGATCATATTTATAGCCAGAATGAAGAAATTAATTTTCAGTTGCTTCCCCTGTCTCCCCCTTCGAGAAACACGCTACTGATTCTCTTTCTCTTTTTCGCACACTCTGCCGCGTTCAGTGCGCGAGCAACCCCTAGCGGAGGAGATGTAGAATCTGATTGGAACATGTACAATCTACATGTTAGATGTAGAATATACATTGTATATGTAGATGTAGATATCATATGTAGCAAAAAAATTTAAAATTTTTTTTTTTTCTATAATTCTTCAAAATCATAAGCTCAAAAATGTATATACTGACTGAGTACGGGTATAAGTAGAGTCGCGTCCCCAGAAGCGACTCACACGTTCCTTCTCGTTTTTTTTTTTTTTTATTCCTATTCTATAATTAGCAGATAATTGTTAATTGAAATAAATAAATAAATAAAAACAACTGAATAAACAATTCAACCAAATCTTCCCAGCCGTTCTGCCTGATAATGCACTATGCATTTTCCCCATTTCTGTCTTCGACTGTTCTTTAATGACTTCAGCAAAATGCTAAAAACAAAATATTCAGTCTTTGACGACGATCCCAGACAAGAACGCAAAAACAACTTCGTTGCTTATGTATGATCCGCACATTGATGTTCTCGACTCTCGAGCCGTAGCGGAGCAGAACAAATTTTAGCACACTGAAAAAATGTTCACCTTTGAGGTCTTATGGCTGATAAACTGAAATTTTCTAGAATATTTCCATTTGAAAAGCTCTGGAAAATGCTCTTATCCAAAGAGCTAATACAATTTTTTTACTTTTCCCAGCTTTTTTCGGCTGAGACCCCCTTTCTCCCGCGTCAAAGATATAAGCGCTGGCCAAGACATTGACGAAGTCGTGTAGCATTTCAGAGGTGAAGGATAGCCTAAAGAGCCCCGCGGTCACGTACCATAAAGCGTCAAACGAAAATTGAAAGGGCATTTTTTCCTCATGCAATATCTGTGTAATTGTATAGGAATTTATATTATTAATTAGAACAAACATAAGACTAACATTAATATTAGCAACACAGGATTTCTTCGATTACACTACTCGACAAAATCGAACTTTTTTTTCCTCAAGGATCCAAACCGACTTTTTCTGATAGATATGGGGCTTTAAAATTTTTTAAAGAATTATGGTTTTTTTTCTATGGCAGAACTTTTTTTTGAAGAATTTTTGAAGTCTGGTATTTTTTTTTAAAGTTTTTTTCAGAGGTAGCGCTTGTTTTTTCACATAACTCTAGTATATTTACGTCTGGTTGTAAAGAACTTTGCTATTTTGAAAAGATAATTGAAACAGCTAGAAGTTGATGCCAAACACTTTGTGATTTCAGCTTACCGTCTGGGAAATATAAAGCATTGAAATGCAAAAATGATGATTTTTGTGGGGTATTTTTACGAAATTTTGACTTTAAAAACTCAGGAAAAGTCAAAAAAAAATTATATCTTGTGTCCCATTTTTTTGTGTATAGGTGCGTTAATTTGGCATCGTTTAAGGTATCGCTCATTAAAATCTATGGAGAGACTTTAAAGCTAAAATTCGTTAACCAAACCTAAGAACGGATCAGGTACCAAATGTACAACCCTTGTTCGTTTGCCTTTTTCCGAATTGGCAGTTGGGCCCCGCTGCCATTCAAAAAAGGTATTTTTTGTCATTTTTTCCATTTTTTAGGTTTGGTTAACGAATTTTAGCTCCAAAGTCTCTCCATAGATTTTAATGAGCGATACCTTAAACGATGCCAAATTAACGCACCTATACACAAAAAAATAGAGGACACAAGATATAATTTTTTTTCGACTTTTCTAGTTTTTAAAGTCAAAATTTCGTAAAAAATACCCCACAAAAATCATCATTTTTGCATTTCAATGCTTTATATTTCCCAGACGGTAAGCTGAAATCACAAAGTGTTTGGCATCAACTTCTAGCTGTTTCAATTATCTTTTCAAAATAGCAAAGTTCTTTACAACCAGACGTAATATACTAGAGTTATGTGAAAAAACAAGCGCTACCTCTGAAAAAAGCTTAAAAAAAAAATACCAGTTTTCAAAAATTCTTTAAAAAAAAGTTCTGCCATAGAAAAAAAAAAATATCATCAAACCATTTCTAAGCCCCAAATCTTTAAGAAAAAGTTCGTTTTGTTCCTTGAGGAAAAATCGTGTTGACTAGTGTTATTGCAACAACTGTTTATGCTTTCATTATTTTCGTTCGGGATCTGATTTTAGAAAAAATCAAACGCAATTCTTCTGCTTGATATGGGTTTCTTAAATCAGCTGTTTAATAGTATCTTTTTATAAAGCCGACAAATTTATAAACAATTTTCGTTATCGGCCACTTTAACGTTTCGATTAAGCTGAAGTTGAGAAGCCGGCCCTTATTGTGTTTACTCATTGAATTCTAAAAATAAAGAAATTAAATCTTAACATTATTCCTACGACTGTCAGCTGTGCAGTCACCGCCCTATCAATCTGCTGACACGTCAGCTCGTGCTGTGGTTATGTGCATGTGCTAGTGGTATCGGTTAACTTTCGGCTAACAGCATACGTTAACCCAGCAAAACACATGTCCCGCACATGGGTTTCTCTATTTTTAGATGTATCAAAATAAATCAACTGATTTTTGTGGTATTACAGTTTCAAATAGCGATACATAACATTCGCAAAAAGAAACTATATCTGATGATAAAAGATATCTATCGCATATATGTATATAGTAGTTGTCCGATACTTTTTTCGAAAATTCATTAATCATATTTTTATACTTTCTACTCTTTTTGTATTAGCTCCACCCAAACAAGTAATTATACGAGACAATGATAACGTTGAGCGATCTACAGTGGTAGGCCCATATAGTGAAGGCGACATTGTGATCTTAAAATGTCAAGTAGTTGGAGGTAAGAACTAACCTTAAGAGCTAAACGACAACCATTCTACGGTCGTCTAATGACTACCTTAATAATGTCAAAATCTTGAATTTCATACATAAATCGATAAATATAAAAATCTCGTGTCACGTTGTTTGTGGTCCTGTCAAACTGCTGCACAGATTTTCATAAAATTTGTGTCGTATATTAAGTAGGTCTGCGCATAGGTTGCAAAGTACTTTTGATCTTAATATTACCACCACAATTTTTTTTCGCGATTTTAGAGTTTTTTGATCGAGTATTGCTTTGATTTAAGCGAAATAACATGCTTAATTTTTGTTTGAAACAGTAGTGCCTTGATTTAGTTGTCAGTGTGTTTTGTGACATAATTTTTATATAATCTCTTTTTAATATTTGTCAGTGCGTTTTTTGTTTTTTTTTGTGAATTTGGTCAATTTTGTGTTTCATACAGTGCAAAATGCCATCAAGACGCAAGGGGATGGCACCGTCGCACAAATAATGAAAGATGTATGCGACAAAGTAGAGCTTAAAGAACAGTCGAACGAATCGAAGAAAATAACGGAAATGTGCATGGGGGCATGGCTCAATTGCATGAATCTTAATCAGTAGAGATACGAAATGAACATAGACAATTGGAACGGAGACGTTACATAATTGACAATATCAGAAAAAATTACCGACAAATGGTATGTGTTGCCCGTCAGGAAAAGTGCTACTACCTCAAATACCTCAAACATCTTCCTGAAGTCCATTCGAATATTCATGCTTCTAAATGACATCATTCGGATAAACAGAAATAGTCAACAATTCTGCGGAAAATGGTCTTCAATACAATTCCACATTTAAAATTAAAGGAAAAGTGTACCACAAAGTAGTCTCATTGCTTCCAATGCCAAACGAAGCACATAAGTTTTTACATATATACTTCATGGGTTGCGGGCCCAACTGCCAATTAGGAATTGGGATCGCGATCAGGTACCAAATGGACAACCCTTTTTCGTTTGCTTTTTTCCCAATTGGCAGTTGGGCCCGAAACCTTCGAAAAGGTATTTTTTGTTTATTTTTTTTTTTAATTTTTTAGGTTTGGTTAACGATATTTTGCTCCAAAGTTTCTCCAATATTTTAATGAACAATACCTTAAAAGACGCCTTATTAATGCACCTATACATTAAAAAATAGAGGTCACAGGATATAATTTTTTTTCGACTTTTCCTGAGTTTTTAAAGTCAAAATTTCGTAAAAAATTACACACAAAAATCATCATTTATGCATTTCAATGCTCTATATTTCCCAGACGGTAAGCTGAAATCACAAAGTGTTTGGGATTAACTTTTAGCTATTTTAATTGTCTTTTCAAAATAGAAATGTTCTTTACAACCAGACGTAAGATACTAGAGTTACGTGATAAAAGAAGCGCTACCTCTAAAAAAAGGTTTAAAAAAAACCACATTTCAAAAATTCTTCAAAAAAAAGTTCTGACACAAACCATTACTTAGCCCTAAGTCTTTAAGAAAAAGTTGGTTTTGTTCCTTGAGGAAAACTCGTGTCGCCTAGTGTAATACAACATAGTCTATATAGATGAAACAAAGTCATGTCCGTTAAATCGCTTATAACTCGAGAATGACTGGACCAATATTCATGGTATTTGATTTGTTGAATGTGTCTCCACCCAGGTTAGCAGAATAACTTAAAAACTATGGAAAAGCGACCACGGCTCGGAATATCGCGATTTTCAAACAGATGGACCGATTTTCATGGTATTTGATTTGTTGAATTGGTCTCCATCCAGGTTAACAGAGTAGCTTTAAAAAACTATTGAAAAAGCGATCACGCTCGGAAAACGTTCGTAATGTTGAATGAAGTTGGCCTTTCCAGGGTTGTCAAACGTTTGCTTGATTTTTTGTAATGAAAGTGTTACTTAAATCAAAAAATAAGTTCAGTCGGCTTAGAATGTTTATAGAGTACAGATGAAATAAAACAAAACAAGTAGTTTAAAAGTGCCAGTTTTTGTAACAGTTGGGAAATTGTGTGGAATGTGGTAAATAAATTTGTGATTTGTGTGTTTTGTGTGAGTATTTTCATCATTAATATGTGTATACAGATTAATGTAGATTCCGCGACAAAAAACATCAAATCTTTCTCAACGAAGCCGTAATGCAATTAGGCTACGGAACAGTGCGAATCAATTAACTCATGAAGAATTACAAATTGCACGAAAGGCGTTGATTTGTCACGAAAGCTTGCGAGTATTGCATTGAAGTTTTCTGGATAAACGCCTGTAAATCAAGATTAAAATCCTAAGATTAAAAATGGTTTTCAAATATGAATGAGGAAGAACGGGAATCCGTACAGGAGATAATAAAACGAAGCATCAATGTGCGTAGCGGGAGACGTAATGGGAGTCGATAAACTGAAAATGACGTAAATGGAATATTGGGTATTTTATACTTTCCAATTAATGCAAAAATTAATTTATATTGAACGTGTTATTCGACTCACGTCTGGTCCGTTATCAGGAACTACAAGAGGTAGACCAACGGATTTTTTTTTTGTGAAGACTCACAGTGAATAACTGTATCTCAAATAAACCCCTTAAAATCACAAGGCTTTGGCACAATTTTGAAGGTACAAAAACCCCGAATAGCAACTAGCTCGATCCGGAACCTTTTTCCCGTAGATCTCATTGAACATGGGTGCAAAGTTGGCTCCCTCTTAAAATGAGAGTAACCAAACCATAGAAATTGCAGAGAACAGATTCCTGTATCCCAGATTACTGTATTCATGACATGCAAATGTAGTCCGCATCTGCACAGATTACTCAAAGTTAGATGGCGGCATAGGTGGAGGAGTATACTCTGAGGAGCTTAATAACAGTCTCTGCTTCAGAATCCCATATCACGGCTTTATGGTAATCTCTCCAAATTCTCTATAGACAAGCACTTGTATGTGTATATATGTATCTTCTGGAACAGCTAAACAGTAATTAAAACACAAGAGTTCATGCAAAACCACCCAATCTTTATGCAAAAGATTTCGCCTTAGAAGAAAAAAATTATTTCTTCAAAAACTTTTCTTGTGGGTTGATACATGGTGAAATTATGCATGTAGTCCAATAATGCTGATGCTTGAATTTACTCTGTAGTCAATCCGGAAATTCCGCTGCTCGCCCAAGTCTTAGCCTACGCGAAAAGTTTCGAATGAGTGGACTGTATAGTCTTTTATGTATTTTGACTTTATTTTAACTAATAATGATGGTGTATAGGTTAATATAATAACGCTGCTTTAATAGCGGTGGTGACAATAGCGATTGATTGCCAATACACGTGCGGTTGATCTCAACTAGAATTTTCGACTGGCTTTACTCCACAAAAGTAGTCGAGCACAAAGGGGAATTGGAAGATCACGGGATGCGACGGTCCCAATACAAAACGGGACTCATGGATTTATGCGTGTGTAGCGTCGGGTGGCTATATGTGTGAGGTCATTACAGTTACGTTTTGAGAATTATGAACTTATAAATAGGTGATTAAGCGTAAGATTACAACGATGAGCAAATTAATGGGGAAAGTAATACAAAGCGATAAGTAATGAAGCAATACAAAGTGAACTAAGTGTTCAGTCGCATATTTATGCATTAATTAATATTACATAATATACACTTATCGAATAAGTCAGGTCGACCCATGTAACGGGAGACATAATAACAAACGACAAAGCATTGTAGCTGAGTCAACAATAACCGCTTCTGAAGCAATTTCTGCCAACGATGCGATCGCTCTTCAGAGGGCAAAAACACTGGTGCAATTGCTGACTATCACAATTGCCCAATAACACAATATCATATTAAATCCAAATTAATTTAATATTAATTTCATTTCCCTTTTACCATATTCTTACTAGACTCAGCACTTTCTGTACCTTTTGTTACCTATAAATAGAATTTAAGTTTGTTGAATAAAATCAGTATCAGAAACAGTACCATCACTGCCTGTTCACTCATTCTCTACAACTGCAATCAACAGAGGCTGTCGCCGTGTCTTCAGACCCTCATTTGCTCGACGTAGGAAACCCTCTTCGCAGTCCAACTAGTTCAAGTTCTAGTTGCGACGACAAATTTGTAGACGGTTTACGTACCGTATGCATACCAAATCACACACACACACAAACACACATTAACATTTGGTGACCCCGACGCAGGAAAACCTGCAAATCACACTGAAGAAGTCACCAGGACTTTTCAACACAAACTGGCAACAAGCCACATACTTACGGTAGAATCTCCTACTAATAAGTAGAACAAATTGGCAGATCTGTCATTTTCAGATCATCAGCCAACAAGATCTACGATTAATAATATCAAGATCACAAGTGCGTTTCACCAGCACAAAACCACCATCCAGTACGTCGTCTGTACTTATACTTTGAACCACATCGGATGCGAATAGGAGCGTATCCAGCTGCAAAGCGAATAAAATACTCCCAACGGGTCAAAGTATAAGTAAGAGGCGAAATGGATTCCCACAAGGAGGAACACGCTGTCACCACGGAGGCTTACAGAAAATTGCCTTCACTATGTCGCCGACAAAAGGCCATAGTAGAGTCCATAAAACGCATTCTGAGACAATTCTCAGAGGCGGGAGGACGTACATCAAGTGATTTGATAAAATCACTATGGACTCAAGCACAAGAAGTCCATTTTACTATCCACGAGGAATATGATAACCCAGAGGAAGAAGGATACAACATGGAAGCCTACCTGACCCTGGAAAAAGAGGTTCAAAGTGCATTGGCAAAACCAGCCACATCAAACAATAATGACGTGCAGCTTCCACGCATCAACATTCCCAAGTTTGATGGGGACATACTGAAATGGTCCCAGTTCTATGACCTGTTTTCATGTATGATACATGAAACAAACATGCCCACAGTTCGGAAGATGTGGTATCTGAAAACAACCGGAACTGGAGAGGAAGAAAGATTGATCCGACATATCGATCTAAAGGAAGAAAACTATTTGAGCGCCTGGGAAATTCTGATTGATACATACAACAATCCCAGAGACGTCGCTAGCACGGTATTGAACCGCTTCCTAAATTATAACACAGTTAATGACGACTCCAAGTCATTAAAAGAGTTGTACGTTACAACTATCGAATCCCTGGCATCACTAAAGGGATTGGGCATCAATATATCCACATGGGATCCAATATTGATTGCCGTCATCAAAAATAAGCTGGATGTCACTAACAGAGCCTTGTACGAGCAATCATTGGGAAGCTCAAAGGAAATACAGGCCTTGGAAACAATGCTTCAGTTCCTAGAACAAAGAGTTCGAGTTCTAGGAACAGGCAAAAAGACACAAATGTCAAGGAAAGAGCCAAAAGGCACAACATGTGCAAAAGTAAACACTGGAAAATCGAAGACGCCTCTCTGCTCATTCTGCAAGAAGGCAAGCCATTGGCTCTACGGATGCGATGAGTTTCGCTCCAAATCACCATCAGAACGACTAAATTGGGTACAAAAGCAGAAATTGTGTGTCAACTGTTTTAAAACAAGCCACAAAACAAATGCATGCCCAGGTCGGACATGTTTCAAGTGCGACAAAAAACACAATACACTGCTGCACTTGGACATACCATCGGGCGTAGGTACAGAACCAAGAGCACCGACGGTTGGCGCAGCAAGTAACAATAATTACAACCTGTTAGCTACAGCAAAAGTAGCAGTAGAAGCAAGCAATGGACAGAGAGCCAATTTCAGAGCCTTGCTGGATTCAGGATCACAGATCAACCTGATCTCTGAACGAATGGCATCAATGTTGTCAGTAAAACTTAATTATACAACATTACGCATCGAAGGAATTGGAGGTCAGTCGAAGACCAGCAGAGCACGAGTAAATGTTCTAATAAAATCACTTCACGGCGGATTTACGCAAAGAATTGAAGCATTCGTACTACCTCAGATAATTGCTGATCAACCAGCGCAGGCACTCGATGAAATGAACTTGAACATACCAAACAATTGCCCACTGGCAGATCCGGATTTCTATAAACCGGGAAAGGTCGATATTCTCATCGGAGCAGAGCACTATTATTCGCTACTACTCCCAGATCAAAAACAGCCAAAGTCAGGAGGTCCGTTGCTGCAAAATACACAATTGGGATGGATTGTGGCAGGAAAAATTAGGTCTGCACACAACTCCGCATCCATTTGTGCAATTGGACTCAACGAGCTAATGGAAAAATTCTGGACTCTGGACAACTTAGAGACGGAAGAAACACCACGCACGCCATTCGAATCACATTGCGAAGCTCAGTTTATAGAGAACTTACAAACAGCATCGGATGGCAGGTTGATAGTAAAACTCCCATTTTCCGAACCCTCTTCAGCCCTGGGGGGGTCTTTGAAAACTGCAACGAAAAGATTCCTGGCATTAGAGCGACGGAATTTACCAGACACCTGGAAAGGCTATGTGGAATTTATGAATGAATATGAAGGACTTGGACACATGAAGATGGTCCCAGCAACTCAAGTGCCGGAGAGACACTACTTTATACCACACCACTGTGTACTCAAACCTGAGAGCACCAGCAGAAAGTTACGGGTCGTGTTTGATGCATCATGTAAATCAACAAGCGGAAAGTCTCTATACGTTATTCTGCATGCCGGACCCACAGTTCAGAGTGAACTTATGTCCATTCTACTACGTTTTCGTATACATAAGTACGTATTCACAGCGGACATCGAGAAAATGTACCGACAAGTGTGGATAAATCCAGAGGATCAGTTTCATCAGATGATAGTCTGGAGAAACAATCCATCTGAAGATATCAGGTACTATCGCTTAAAAACAGTCACATATGGGACCACATCTGCTCCATTCCTGGCAACGAAATATCTGGATCATTTGGCAACTCGGAGCCAAAACAGATTACCTATTGGATCTGCTGCATTGAAGAACGATTTATATGTGGACGACTTTCTTACTGGCGCGGATACCATTCAGGAGGCGATACAAGTTCAACAAGAACTTAATAAAATATTGCTACCGTTCGGCCTTAAACTTCGCAAATGGTGCTCCAACAACGACCAGCTCTTGCAAGGAATCCCTAAAGAGGACGTTGTCAACGTCAAACTAGGTAACTTGGATGCCAGAACAAGACCAACTGCGAGGACGAACCACAAAAAGCCAAGCAACACACATCACCAAAAGGGTCGTGTGCTCAGAATTGGCACAAATCTTTGACCCACTGGGTCTCTTTGCCCCAGTGATAGTCAAGGCAAAAATATTTATGCAACAGCTGTGGGAGATTAAACTCGATTGGGACGATGAACTGCCATTACAACTCCAAAACGAATGGAAGGAGTACCGGGAGGACCTACAATCATTAAACTCAATGGAGATTCCCCGTCACGTATATGATGGAAAAGTGCCAGTCACCCATTATCTACATACCTTTGTAGACGCATCGGAACGAGCCTATGGCGCGGCAGTGTACGTATGAGCCACCTAAAAAAACAATCAGGTCTCTGTACGACTATTATGCTCTAAGTCTCGAGTAGCACCCACCGCCAAACAATCCCTACCACGTCTATAACTGTGCGCTGCAGTTTTAGGTGCCGAACTCACCAATCGAGTTAGAAGGGATCTCCATATGAATCTTGACACAGTATCAGGAAGCTTCTGGACTGATTCCACCGTTGTACTGTCCTGGATTAACGCATCGGCGTCCATATACCACACCTTCGTGGCAAATCGAATCGCCAAAATTCAGGCATTGACTAACCAAATACAATGGCGTCATGTTTCATCAGCCAACAACGCAGCAGATGTCCTTTCAAGAGGAATCCTAGCAAGCAAGCTAAGGGATCATAGTCTATGGCTATACGGACCATTATTCTTGCACGGATCAGGAGATAAATGGACAAAACCACCCATCATTGAGCCCAGCAATCTCGAGAGAAAGGCTAAGCATGTCAGCTTGCCAATCGCATCTAGCTCTCTCGGAGAAAAGTTATACAAATGCAGACATAGCAACTCGTTCAAAAAACTACAACGTATTGTAGCGTACATGTTTCGCTTCTGCTACAAAACTA